TGTACAACTTGATATTCTTTTGACAGGCAAAACTATTCTTTCTTGGAGGTGTCCAGAATATAAAAGGTGTCCAGAATAATATACGCTACACGGTATGTGACGGTACAAACTCAAGTCATGTTTGTGCAGACAGTAAAGCCCTGCCAAACGAATTCGTGCAGTCGACTGGATCCGATGGCTCGACGTGGCTTGGGGGCTCGTGGACGGACTGAGGTCGCATGCGTGCTCTGTGAGTTGATCGGCATCGTCTTCGCACGAAGCAGGGGGCTCTGGATGTAAGTTGGACGAGCGCGATATCGCCGGGAGGGGGTAGTGTGGAACGGTCATCGAAGGGTGTGAATGTGGAATTGTGACTTCTTCTCGGCACGGGGTCCACTGGTAAGGACACGCAGCTTGCGTTTGCTTGAGTACACACTAGCGACATCTGCCCCCACCGCGCATACGACCAAAACGATTGCGCGATCCATCGCGACTTGATCGCCCTCCTACGTCTTGTCAATGCCGATAAGCAGTTCTGATGTGCCAGCTAGATGATGGCGAGGCGATGGACTCGGTCGTGCAGCCCTTGCAAGGAGGCACTGACAACAAAGCAGAGGTGGGGGGGGGCACTCCGTCTGCAAAGAGGGCGGTAATTGCGTCAGCGGAAACACCCTGTCCATCACCGAGTAGAGTCGACATGACCCCCTCGACGATATTGTCACTGTGGGAAGTCACAAGCGCTGGCCAAATCGTCCGTACCAGAGGGGGCGGATACAACTCACGTCCTTCGGGCAACCATGCCAACTATATAGACAATAACTTGCGCTCACATCAAGAAGTGTCGATGGGGGTGCGCCAAAGCAGCGCCAACGATGTCGACGCGTCAGTTTTGTTTGTCCCGTGTGTTGGAATTGAATGAAGACGACAGGAATCATTTATTAAATGGAATAGATGGTATTCTCATTTATATTTGAACTTAGAATGACTCATTTATGATGTCTTATAAATGAGCTTCATTTTAACCAACCTGGCCAATCAAAACGTCCTCCAATCGCGCACCTTGATGGAGGAAGCGCGCGTTGAAGGCCTGCTGGCGCTACTTCGAGGTCCGCAAGTGGTAATGAAGCACGGCATGAATGCTTCACGTAGATGGGCAGACTGCAAGCATCCGAGAGCATGCTGCCAAGCAACTTGGAGTTGTCGTCACCCCTGACACGCTACCCGGGTTGTTGGCCGAGGTTGCCCGCTGCTGAGAGAATCTCTGCGTCACACGTCGGCATGCTCGTAGATTCGAGCTTTGGTCCGCCACCCGAATTGGGATACACGCGTCGCTGCGGCACAGGCAGTTGGCTGTATCGCAGCGTCGTTGTGTCCTGACCTCGTCTTGTCGTGCGCCGACTTCGGTGCGTAAACCTTTCCCGATGAACTTGGTCTCAACCCTCTGTATGTAGCACAAGCCAGTTGCGACTCGTTGCTGCAGGTGTCGCAGCTCGACATGGACCAATTGTTGACCCACGCCACACCGTTGCTGAAGAGCGGGGGCGAAGTAAGTGACCGAGACGACGATGGCGTTCTCACGGTAGCGGAGCAGGAATACAACTACACGACGAATTACACGAACCCTGACGACCAGCAAAAGCATCTTGCGCGGCAGCGATATCTGCTGTGGAAGCGCATCGCCCACGACGTCCAGACCTCCGTGTCGATTCCACGACCTGTGTTGAGGCAATCCACAGGTGCATCGTGGAACCTACCACTCGCACCACATCCAAGCGCTCATGCTGGAACGGTGTAGCATCATTTCTCGAATCGGCCGATGTCAACACCATGAGTAAAGCCACCACAGCCGCACCATGGACTGCGCCCGTGTGCACCCTCTTGGTCAGCAACACAGGTCATCGCAACGACTCCCACCTGTCTCCGATGACCTCCACTGCATCGATCCTCCTCCCTGCGCTTGTCCAAGATTGCCTGGAAGCCATGTTTGACGCGCAGTGGGAGGTCCGCCATGGCGCCGTCGCCGTCCTTCGACAGGTTTTGATCCATGATGTTGTACGTCGCTCCATTGTCATGGTTTGGAATTCCGCGAAGGTGCTTATGCCGTTGGTGTCGACGACGACCGGACATTCCTCCGTCAAAGCTCCATGGATCGAAGAGGTCGTCGTGCGATGCGTGTGTGTATTGGCCTTGGAGCAATACGTCGACTACTCGGCGGACGGATCGATCGCGCCGATTCGATACCTCGCGGCTCAAATCGCCGGGCGATTCTTCACGGCGTTGCCAACGCAGACCACGACGGTGTTGGTACCGTTGCTGCAGTCCACTCGATCGTGGCATGCTTGCCACGGAGCCCTCCTGGCCATTCAATTCCTCCGCGACCCATCGGTACAGACCAAGGAAACGCTGTTGACGCACGTTCAGCAGGCGATCTTCCGAAGCGAAGACGAAGTCTTCGGCGCTGCGGCCCAGTGCCTCGTGGCGCTCGCGCCACACCAAAACCAGGTTGCTCCTTGATTGAATGCTCAGTTTGGCTCCTTGGGAGCTGCCAAACTTTGACGAGCGTCTAGGGACCGTCCAACGTCGTCAACCGGCTGTGGGCGATTTTAAGCGAAGACGGAGCTGCCAAGAGCGTCGAACTAGCCAGTGCCCATGTGTTGACCGCGCTGCGCCATCTGCATCAACCAGCAACTTTGGCTCAAGTCGACATAGTCTCGGCGTTCCTCAGCCACGCATTGGTACCAGTGCGAGAAGCGGCAATTGCGTGGCTTTCACGAGCGCTGAGTTGCATGACGTTTGATGTGTACGTGCAGTGTCGGCATCCCATAGATGCCTGGATTCCTTTGCTGTTGCATGTGTCATGATCACGTCACGAGCGACCATGCTATAGACGTGCTGGTGTGTGGTGGCTCCATGCGATTTGGTCTCGACTGCTTTTGGATGGCCCTTGCCAAGCCTCGCTCCGCATGCTGTGGAATCAAGCGCTAGATACGGAAGGGCTACTTCCAGCAGCCAGCCTGCACAGCATCGTCGAAGCGTCGAATCTGACGCGGTGGCTGCATGCGGCATGGTCCGTCGGCACCCCGGCCCTGACCTTCAAGGTATGCCCGTCCTTCACTTCGCTTGATGGTCCATGACAGGCGCTGACGGCGGCCACGTAGAATTTGTCTGCCAAGGTCGAGCGGGTGCCGCTGCCGGCAACCAGAGACTCCGGTCGGGCCATTGTGGCGACGCAGTGTCTGGCGCAGTTGCACAGCAAGACGGTGGCACTGGCGGGCGTGTGGAGCGCTTGGTTTTGCGCAGCACTGGCGAGTCCTCGGTGCGAGGAAGCAATTGGAGCACTCACACTCTTGAGTACGTCATGCCACCAACTGGGCCTTGAAACATGCGAGCACGGTGGTGGTATGCTATCTTGTAGGCACTACCATTTCATCCCGATCGTGGCCATCGCAAGATGCCGTGGAAGCCGTGACGACATATTTGAGAAATCCTCGCACCACGTTTTACCACGAACAATGGAGTGGTTGGGAGCTCCTGCGCCGCCAAGTCGCGCAGATGGCGGCCTGGTTTCCATCGTCGCAGCTCAAGCAACTTCTAGCGGCTGGAACAGCTCCGTCTTCCACACAGTCGTGGCAGGTTGCGCAAGTGGTGGCGGCGCTGCCATTCGAGTCGTTGACGAAACCAGATACATACACGAAAGCGCAGCATGTACGGCAAGACATATTTGCGACGGAGGAGCGTGTTCGACTGTCATTTGAGAGGGCACAAGCCACCGCCGGTGCTTTGTACGCCGCGACGTATTTGGCTTGGCAGGTACCTCGAATCCCCCTGGTCACGCATGAAACGCGCGTACTTCGAACTAGCTGCCATGGGACAAGCCGGCCTTTCTCGTCCGCCCGTTGATGGAAGGCCTCAAGACGTCCCCGGATGCACGGCTGCAAGAGCTCCTTGCCAACACCATCGTGCGATTTCTCCACACGTGTGCAGTGTCCCACACAGTGTGTTGCATGAAAATGATCACGAATCTGGCGGCCCACCTGACAGCGACTCCCACGACCCTCAGTCGATTCCGAGGAGCAGAGATGGCTTTGACAAGCCTGATTCAATCCATCCCACCTAGTTTTGACGACACCTCCGGGCCAGCCTTGTTGTGGGCAAAGCTGTCGTCGCTGTGGACTGGTCCCCACGTCCCGCTGTTGACCATCGTGCTGACCCATGCAAGCCCAGCGCTGGTACATCCTGTGCTCTCTCAGACGTGGTCGTGGGTGAATGTAGTGGAGCACTCATCGCTGGCCGCAGCCGTGGCCACCGCCGCGGCGCGAAGCCCAGACTTGATGTCCCAAGTGGTTCAACTCTTGCGCCAAGCGTACAGCTCCGCCGTCATGGAATGCCTGGTACAAGCGCATCGGTCGTCCTGCGTTCCGGTCGTGTGCGACTTGATTCCGCTCGCGCTGACAAACACTCGAGGCAGCGCGCTGTCTGGTTTGATTCCGCTGCTGCCGCTGCATGGCCATCTAGACACGGCCAGTCCATTTCTCTATCAACTGCAAACGGGTGCGGCATTCTCTCGAATCGTTTCGTGCCAGTCGTTTGACTTGTGAGGCCAGGCGACGTCCCGCCTCTGCCAGACAACGTGGAGTGGCCGCCGCAGCTCTCGCTTCGCCCGTACCAGGTCGATGGCATCAACTGGCTCCACTTTCTCGCATCCCATCGTCTCCACGGAATACTGGCCGACGACATGGGCCTCGGCAAGACGTTGCAAGTGTTGTGCAGCATCGTCGCTCGCAAACGCACGGTAGCCTCCACCAACCAAGCGGATGGACTTGCTGCGACGACGCCGTACATGGTTCTGGTCGTGTGTCCGCCGATTGTGATGTCGCACTGGGTGCGCGAAGCGGCAACGTATTTCGCCGCCGACTTTACATCGATCGTGTCGTACGCCGGCACGGCGTCGAGGCGGCAAACGCTTCGGCAACACATGATGGCGTCCACCAACAATGTGTCGATGACATCACAACGAGGCACGAGTGACGACGATGCCGCCGCCGCCTCCAAACCCGCCGACTGCACCCTGGTCGTCACCAGCTACGCCACGTTGACTCAAGATCGGCATTTCTTCCACACGCTGTCGTTCATGTACTGCGTCGCGGACGAGATTCAATTGTGCCGCAACCCCGCGACCGCCACTGCCCAAGCACTCTTTGGTGTCCGCGCCATGCATCGCGTGGCCGTGAGCGGCACCCCCATTCAAAACACCCCCGTCGACATTTGGAGTGTGTTTTCGTTCTTGATGCCGCACTACTTGGGCGACGCCGCCGCGTTTCGGCAGAAAACGGTCGCGCCGATCGTGGCCAGTCGGAAAGCATCCGCAACGTCCGCTCAAAAGGTTTGCCAAGACGACGTCCTGGCGTACGACACGCAAGCGTTTGAAATATATACGTGCTGTAGGAAGCCGGCGCGGTCGCGCTGACAGACCTCCATGCAAAGATCGCGCCATTCGTGCTGCGCCGGACGAAAGAATCCGTGCTGCGGGACCTGCCGCCCAAAACAATTCAAGACATCCCGTGCGCGCTAACACCTCTCCAACGACAGCTCTACGACGCGGCCGACTCGTTGGATACGTCGTTGGCGACGTGGAGGCAGCGGCAGCAGGTGTGCATGCACCCGAAACTCGTGGATGAGCACTTGTACGCGGACGAGGCCAGCGGCAAAATGACGGCGCTGGTCGACTTGATGCAACTTGTCCATGGCACAGACAGCGGAACAACCGCACACGATCGAGAAGAAAATCGCGGCGACCATCGCAGTTTAATCTTTTGCCACACTCCCACCCACGCATCATTGATCCAGTCGATCCTAGCCACGACGCTCCCCCACCTTCGACTCGTGAAATTGGATGGTTCAGTGCCCATGGCGCAACGGTACAATGCATCATGGGTACATGTAGAATTCGTGGGGCTGCACCGTCCGTCTTCGATGCACGCGTCGCTCGGTGCAGGCCAGAGTGTCTCGGAGGTGGACGTGTTGGCCACAGCTCAACGAACGTTCGTAGACCGGCCATCGTGGACGAATTCAACCGGGACTTGTCGATTCACGCGATGGTGCTGACGACCGCGATCGGTGGCGTCGGGCTCAACTTGGTATCGGCCGACACGGTCGTATTTCTCGAGCACTCGTGGAATCCGTTTGTCGACGTGCAAGCAATGGATCGAGTGCACCGCCTCGGTCAAGTCAATCCAGTGACTGTGTTTCGTCTGTTGGCGCAACACACGATCGAAGATGAAATCCTAACAGCGCAGCGATTGAAACAAGCCACCGCCGACGCCATACTTGGTACGCCACCCACAGCAACATGGCCGCGAGCGCGTGTGACCGAGTGACGTGTGGGGGGTGCGTAGGACCGAACGAAGCAAAAGGCCACACCAACGTCCTGTCCGTTTTGGGGTGTGGGTTTGCCGACACGGACCGGCCTCGGCCGAAAAAAAAACCCAAGTCGAACCAACGCACCGTCCAAGCCATGTTGGAAGAATTGGGCGACCTGTGGGACGCCGCGCAGTACGACTCTCTGGCGCTCGATGCGCCGTAGCACGGGGACGTACACAACAGACCACCGTGAAAACCCACCATCTTTCGTTGCGAGCGTTGTGCGCGATCGAGTTTTGTGTGCCGAGTCCTGGCGCAGTGTGGGCTCTCGATCGACGATTCTTGCAAAGCAATCGTTGATGCCTGTGTTGCACCCGACCTGGACGTATTCGGAATCGAGCGGTCGTTGTGGTTTCGCGCGAGTGCCTTGGATTTGTTGCCGTGCTTTCCATGTCACGCTGGCGTCCAACTGGACGATGGCCACGCAGATCCTATCATGTCGTGCGCGGGCGCACCAGCGTCGACTGCACAGCTATAATTCATTTTGTTATGACGGCGCCGTGACCACGAGCTCAGGCAGCTTTGGTGTGGTGCACCATTTGCTGGAGCATATCCTTTACATATCTACAGCAGCGACCCATGACACACACATATCCTAGCTTGTTGGCGGCGACGTACTTGAGTCGCTTGAGTAAATCCGGGAGCGCGCGAAACACGATGGCGTCGTAAAGCGACACAGCGTGCATGTGGCCAGCCTTGTCGACATATCTACCGCCCCCAACGTGTGCATCCACGTCATCGATATGTGTTGGTTTCCAACTCACGTGATGGCAGCGCCGCCGTCGCTCAGAACGAGCTTGGTCGTGTCGAAAAAGTTGGCTTGGACCGTGTCGTTGGTCAGGCGAAACATCATGCAGTGGCGGGTTTTGTGCCACTTGGACACGTACACCATGGGGG